CCGCACCCCTGCTTTACTTGCCCCGCTCTTTGCCCCATGCAACCCACACACGCATGCAAGCCACCCCGCTTTACTGGTAGGGCCGCCATGTGAGCGTGTGCACTTTAAGGCGTCTTGAATGCACGTGTGCAGCAAGCAACACGGGTGGCATGCTGGGCGATACGATGTGGGCCTGACATTTCCACAGCCCTTCACCTGTCAAAGGAGGCCCACTAACGAATGCAGTTCAGCCCGATTTGCAGATAGATAAAGAAGGACTAGCAAAGCTGGTAATAGTAAGGCGCGATAATCTAAAGTTGGCAAACAAGGCCCTCCGAAAAAAGGACATCCTACGTCCGTTTTAAGTACGACAATTGTCATTACTTGCCTTTTTACTCCAGCGACAGTGTCGGGTTGCCGCGAAAACAAAACGGTACGCACTCATATATCTGCCAGGGCTTAAGTACAGACGATTGAAAGGCAAAACGGACCCGAGCATACTGCGATGCCAAAGCAACTTTCGACAACCACTAACCCACGTCTGAACCAAGCTATTCTGCATAGCATTTATGATGTCTGAACTTATGATGTATTAAATGAGCTGTTAGCAGGACGATAACGTTGTCTTAGGTTGACTGATATACCATATACGTATCGCGAAAGGCCACAACACGTCACCAAAATGCAGCATTTGAACTTGCCATGTGGCGCCTGAGCCCTGTAGGAGACCCTCGCTAAAGAGCACCGCAGGCGAGTGCGACTACATCCCGACTTCAAGCAAGGAGTCGACTTGACTTGCACACGGATACAACGAAGTATGACCAGCCACTTCATGTAGACACCCTGACATCCTGACGCTAACAGAAGCCAGTTGGCCATCTAAGGTGGAACTCGTAAGATGCTATGACAGTAAATCGAAGCAAAGTAAACGGGGAAGCCAGCTTGAAGTAGTGCATAACTATTTCTATGTCTATGAAAAGCGGTACCTTCGCTTACTGCAAAAGAAGAGAGGGAAGCCGAGTAGTAGGAGGTACGGCATGTGAGCGAGGGCTAGTACCGCATCTTTGACGGCACGTGCGTGGAGCGTAGCTTGATAGAGGGTGAGTCGGACAAAGGTGGCAAGCGACAGGGCGATTGGGTGGGGCGCTGTGCGCAATAGAGAGCAAGTTGGAGGCATATATATACGGGAATGCAGCATGGGGAAACAACACCCCCCCAAACCCCACCACACCCCACAACCCAAGTTGCGACGGCCCCCCCCTGGCACGCCCCGCCATGTCCGTGTGTCCGTGTGTCCGTCCGTGTGTCCGTAACGTCAAAACATACAAACTAGACAAAACTATTAATTGCACCTAATAGATATTTGTTATCTGTATTCAGTAAAAATAACAGCAAGTCAAACAAGCTTGATTTCGCAATAAACATATTATTGACCAACCATTGAAAAGGACCACCTCGGCAACACCGATTAGCGCCCCTCTGTGGTTTGTCCTGGTACCGTAAACTATATTTAGTGAATCGGTAACAGCGGCGTGCCGGAAAAGGGCAACCTGTGAAAGTCGGCGGGAGCATGCTTGCATGTACTGTGCTACTCAGAGCCCACACAATCCTTTGTGACGATGTTGCCCGCCTTTGCTATTGATTTGTGCGCCATAATGCCTATGAACTGTAACGCAAACGGGTACGGGGTACCTCGCCTATAAGCTAACATGCGTTGTTACGGCGCAATGGCTGAAGTCCTTCTGAGCACGATGCCGAGATTGCCGAGCCTGACCTCCTCATCATGTTAGTAATGTAGGTGAAACCCTAACGACCTGCGGGACCCTGAAAGCACTCCCATGTGGCAGTTACGCCGTTGATTTGGGTTCTGTAGCCTAATGCGTGGGTGTTATCAAGCATGACAAGACGTTACTAAGTACTCGATTGAACAGTGACCTAACAATGTGTGCAATGAATGAGGACACTACGTACGCCATGGGTGAACAAGGCGGCCGGCCTCGGCTGGACAAGGGGCTCTGAGCTCATCTAGCCATGCAACGAGCACTAAAACTACAGTAAACAAGGGGGTTCAGCGTCCGTATAACAAGGTGTGTTAGGCCAACTGGTGCCGTGGAGTCACAGGAGCGCATTCGGCATTCCAGGTCATAAGGCCCATAGGGTTGTGCGTCACGCTTGAGTCGTTCCACTCCCCTAATCGCATTCATTCCAATGGTAATAATACGTTCCTGTACTGAAGAGGAGGGGCTCCGCCCTTTTCCAGCTTTGAGGAAGCTGAACCCCCTTGTCCCGGCGTCAAGCCCCCTGTCGGCCAGCTAACCATTGTTGGACGCCACGTGGGGACGCCGCAAAGAAAAGGGCAGGGAAAGCCGGCCGTGCAGAGACGGGTCTACGAACGCAAGCGCCGCACACTGAAGGGCAGGGAGGGCAGGTGCTGCACATGAAAGGGCGACCGCCCGCCGGCGGGGAAGGTGGTAGAAATAAAATGGTAAGAACATAGAGAGGCCGGAAAGCACATGGGAAGGCAAACGTAACGCATGGAAGGCATGAGGGTGGTAGGCACAGAATTGGCTGGGAAGCGGCAAGGCAGGCAGCAGGCGCTGCACGCGAGGGGCAGGGGAAGGTAGGCGCAGCACGGGGAAAGGTAGAAAGAGGCAGGGAAGGCCGACCGCACAGATAAATGCATGCAGAGACAGGTGCCTTGTGGGGAGGGGCGTTGCGCAGGGAAAGGCAGGGAGAGGAGGTAGGCTGGGAAGGGCAGGGGAGGCAGGCGCCCCTCATGGAGGGACACGGGGCCGCGCAGGGAAGGGCATGCATGGGGACGAAGACCCTGCATGGGGAGGCACATGGGGCCCCCACGAGCGGCCGAGGTTTACGGGGCAAGGACAGGGCAGGGGAACGCAGGCCTTGTCGCTCTCCTCAGTGGCCTCTCTGACCAATTCTCAATCTTCACCCCAATCGGCTGGCCGATACTAACCTCCTCAATGCAAGTGTGCAATGCGCATCATAAAGCACTTCGGTGGAACCTTCCTATCTATTCCGCAAGGGAATGAAATCCAAAAGTACCTCTGCCCTTCACATTATACAGTCCCGTCCTATGTAATTGCATTCCAGTACCAACACATCCTTAGTCAATAGTGTGCACACAACTACCTAACATTTTGACCACCCGCTGCAAGCGGCCCTTGTAGTGACTTTTTTGCGCTTCCGCTGCTCGTCCGAGCGTCATCCTTTGTCGCTTTCTTGCCGTGGTCCTTTCTTGTACGCGGCCTTCTACTTAGGTTCCTTTCTTCCGTGTATATCTCTAAGCTTCTGGGGCTGCTCTCGGTGGTTCTGAGCCAGGAACTCCCTATTTTCCTACGGCGCCTCCCCCCTCGTAGGAAAATAGGAAGCCATAGGACGGCGTTAGCTGCCGTAAAAGTGGAGCGAGTGGAGCGCAGCCGGAGCGGAGCATCGCCTTTGGTTAAAGCCTCTAGCCTTTACTTGTTGCTCTTTTTGCCTTGCTTTACTTGTCGCGCGTATTGCCTTCACGGCCCTCATTCATGACTTCTAGAGCGGTTGGAATATGAGCGTATGGCGTGGCAAGGAAATTCAAAGCGAGCATCGATCTGAACCTTGCGTGGCCTGAGTCTTATGTCCGAATGCTCGGTTACTGCAAACTGAGCATTTCTATGCATATTAAGAGCCTACAGTTTGAAACACAAAGCAAAGCAATAGCTTGTGTGGCGCCCCACAAGTGCAAGATCATGCGCGATAGCGCAGCGTCCCAACTTTCGCTGCACTCAATTAGCAAAGCACGAGCAAATTGGGAAACAATAGCAGCTTCCGCAATGCCAGATGTAGCAGCGAGTATGAAAATAGCCTGTCCACGATGATGGCACCGCCAACCATGTCGCTGCACTTCCCGTTCCTCAAACCATGTAAAACCTACCAGTGTGGCCCTAGTACCTTTGCTGACTTCCTCAGGGAGCAATTCGCCCTTACCCTTTCTGGCCAGGCAACCAGGCACCTCCTGATGGACCCATGGGCTCTGTGGTGACTGTGCCACAGCAGAGGCAGCAGCAGCAGACCCGGTACCTGCCCCTTAGGTCCTTACCGCTAGGGTGCAAACTCCACAAATGAGTCAGAACGACAACCCAGTACCTAGAAGTATGGATTCCACGATAAAGCAACCATTCCTTCTTCCTTTCCCTTGTCACCCCGGCCTTCTAATATCTCCCCTCCGAAAGGATGCTTGGCATGTGGGCTACTGCTTGAGCGATGGTTCGAAATGGAAGAGCAGGAATATGATAGAACATAGGGAGGACGGAGGAGGCACGGTGCTGCCGGCAAAGGATCCCCACAACAGGCCAACACCAAACAGGTGACCGCAGTGTTACTCTGTTTGGGAAGGGTGCATGGTGTGGCATAGGCATGGCATACCCATTTAGCCTACTCCCCGACAACCCAGGGGGCCTGAGGGGTGGGGCCGCAAGACTGGTAAGAGACCGAACGCGTATGCATGTGGGAACCTGTAATATGCCCCAAAACACGCAAATGCAAGGTGGATTTGAGGGACGGTATAGAACACGTATTCTCTTACGGTTGACCCTTGGTGCGAGATCTAAGCAGCTACACGTTCAAACACAGGCTCAGAGCATGGGTGCCTAGATCTGTTTGAGAATGATGGCGCACCCTTGGTAGTGCCTTGCCAAGGCTCCTAACCACTGGATGGTGCTGATCATTGGAAGTGCCAAGACGCCGGATAGAACATGAAACATAAACACCGCTCCTACTATAGCGTGAAGACGAATGAAGTTCAAGAAACAAGCTTTGCGGAAGAACCAAAGGAAACTTTTCCGCGTACGCGCAGCACAAAATGCAAAAAATGGTTCGATATCGCCATACTATACTGGCCAGGTACGGTGGTCTCAGCCTTGGTTTCTCTATTCCATGGAAACAGTCTCGTAGGAAGTCGTAGGATAGGAAGGGGTACGACCAGAAACCAAAATTCCTACGAGCCCATGGAAACAGGGCTATTGGGTCCGAAACCAGGCCGAAGCCCATAGAAACCCCCCTAGTGCTTAAGAGGAACCACCGTACCGTAGCTTGGCGTACTAAGACCTGTGCCCAGTACTTTCCTTTTGTGGTTGCACTTAGCGGAGGGTAATGACAGAGCTCGATAGTTGTAAAAAGCAGCCTTCCTCCGCCGCAGATCCTCTTGTGCTTGTAGCTGGAGCAGCTCGCACAGGAAAGAGCACTCTCGTCCACAGCATCACAGGAAAAGTTGCAACTTCTCAACAAAAGATAAGTAACTGGAACATAATTAATAAATACTACTCGGCAAACGTGGTGTTTTGCGAGACTGTTGGCGAAAAAGTCAGCAACGGAAGCCACCCAGAGGCCCTGGTGCTGGTTTTCAGCCTTACCGACTCTGGCAGTTTTTCCCATGTTCAACATGTAGCAAAGAGCTTTAACCTAGAGGCAATCGAAGTGAAGCTGCTGTGTGGAACGCACGCTGATGCCCTATTGGAAGTGGATGCAGCCCCGGAGCGGCTTGAGACATCTCTACAGAAAGCTTTGTACCAGGAAGCAGCCAGTTGGTCGATTGAGCACAGGTTCGAGTTTATCGCTTGCTGCCCAGGCGTCCCCGCTACGGATGCTGTCCTAGCCCTGGAAGGCGTTCAGCAAGGAGTGCGCCGCGTCGTGGAGGCACTCCAGTCGCACACCTGGTCAAACTTAACCCTAGCCGAGCGACAAAGACATCAACCAGATGCCGTTATGGCGTCTGGTTTTCCAGCCGTTAGCTCAAGTGGAGCTGGAAAGGGCGCACCTGAGCCTACAGCTGCAGCGGAAAGCGGGAAAAAGCAAGGTCCTATCACCCCGACTTCCGTATGTGACCAATGGGAGGAGCAGCAGCGTGAGGTTGACAACGCAGACACTGTGGATGCGGAAGTGGAGCACACGGTGGAGGGCCTGGAGCGGCTCATAGAGGACTTGCAAGGTATGGGGGGTCTAACAGACATGCTGGCAACACGTAGCATTTAGGCACGTAAGCGGTTTGTCATCTTTTTATTATTCAAGAAATCCGCATGCATGAAGGTCCCTGGAAATTTAAAAAAATCGTAACCCAACTTGCCTTTTGATACTCAGGTCACAAGGCCCGGCTGGCTTCACTTCCTGACGACGAGCGGAGGAAGCAAGCTGGAGCCATAGCACTACACATGCTTGAGATGCTGGGCCTACACGATGAGGAGAGCAGCGGGGAGGAAGGGGGATAAGGCATGAGCAGAGGTGGAAGGCAGTGGGAAAGCGGCCTGAAAGATGGATTGACTCATGGTTTGTGTGGAGGCCCTCTTACCGTATAGGAGGAAAGAGTTGCAGGTGTGTGTATAGTGTTGCCTCGCCTGACACAAGCTAAAGATGCTAGGCAATCTGTAGTTGTTGCCCGCCGAAGCAATTGTTACAGCCGTCATTGCTGGATATATGCTCCTACGGTGGTTGGCTGCCAACTTCAGTAAGCTGTTACGAGGTACGATCGGTGGTGGGAATTGCAAATACAAACCTTCAGTCTTACAGGTGAGGTGAGATGTTTCCAAATATGCTTTGGAGGATTTCTTGGTATGGTTCAAAGGGGGGGGGGGGGGGGGTCGCCCATGGTTCCTTGCGCTACACGAGGCCCAAGCCAGGGAAGCAAGGGAACGCCCTTCGAGACACCCCGGCATAGTATCCTAAGCATTTTTAACCGCCATTACATTTGCGCATTCCAGCCCATCTCTTCAAAGCTTAGTAATATAGTATACATGGTACTTCCATGTGCCAAAAGCAAGGGGATTGGGTAGGAAAGGGCATTGGTGCAAGGCTACGACCTGAAAGGCTGTACAAGAGTTGCCATCAGAGATTGTATGAAGGGTTGAAATAATCACAAAGTGTATGTTATTGTGGATGCTCCAAAATTTGGCTGAGTGTAAATCCTAAGCAAATGCAAGTGTCCAGCCCCAGGCACCAAAGTAATGAGAATGTAGATACCGTGCTGCTCAGCTTTCTGGTGCTGCTTTTCGGCATGGTGGAAGTCACATGTGTTTTTCTAGGATGTAGATATAGCACCGCGTCGTGGTCGCCGCGGCCGGGGGTACTGTAACGTCGAAAGGCCCCTATGGCATCCCGGGTTAGGCCTTTTATAATGTTACACATCCCCCCAAACGCCCTCAGGTATGTCACACGGGTGCAGCCTATGAAGGCCGTCATATTTTACAGAATGTCCATATAGGACACTTATACGGTAACACAACGTGTTTGCAAGACGGGGTGGCGCTGGAATCTTGCATTTTTCAAGTTGCTTGCGGCGCAAGAGTGCTCGTACCCCCGACGGGAGTCTGAGGTCGTACAGGGCCCCATAGAGCGTGCTGTGCTCGAAAGCATGCTATGGAACATCTTTCGAGTAAGGTTGTGACCTAAACGATAAAACCTGTTTTCAAATAAATGCCTAACTCAAGCTAAATGTCGCGTTTGCCCTCTGGTATCTATCCAGCAGAACCGTTTGCTCTTGGATTGGTTAACGCGAACGTTTTATGCAGTGAACTTATGAAGTATAATATTGTACAGATATTGTTTTGCTGCATTCTTATAGCTGAGCGTTCTGACAATAAAGTTGGTGAACTCCTTCGCACAACCCACTTGCCCTACCCTTGAGCCTCCTCAAAGTCGTTACCCGCACCTTCTGCCGCATAGAGCATCAAACCCCCATCGGATTTCCGCACGGGAACAGCATCCTCGTCCTTGTCTTGAAGAGCACTTCTTGAATGCGTGTTTACCTCAAACCACGATTCCGGACCCCCCTGCCTCACACGCCTCTTTGCCTACCCGTGAGCCCCGTCTAAGCCCCAGCCCCCCAGTCTTAGCCGATGTAGTGGTGAACACCACCACGTACATGGGTTGTGACGGGATCATGGAGAGGGGGCTCCCCTCGTACACCTGGCACGACAGCGAGTTATAGTGGAGGTCGCGGACAGTGCACCCACGCGTGAACGTGGATGCAGAAATCTGATGCTCGAATGCCGCCCTGAAACCCAACCAGGCGGCCTTGTCATCCGCGCGAATCGGACCGGCCCAGTCATCCACCATCAACTTGTTCTGGTCATCTGTCGGGATGTCTGGCCGCGTCCCAGGATCCGTCCTGCACAACAGAAGCAACTGTTGGGAACCAGAGCGAAACAGCAAACGGCGCCTAATGGCAAAGAGATTAGCATCCCGTGAACCTTACCTTTCTTCTCTGTGCCGCTTGTTCTCGCCTTCCCGCACCTCGCCCGTGAGTACCTTGACGTGCGGGTCCCTCATTATCCGATCCTCCTCCTCAATTGGCTTCCCCTTGATGAGCACGTGCTGGAGCTCTTGGAACCACCCCATCGCATTGACCCACAGCCGGCAATCGTAGTAGTTCAGGCCTGGACAAGGGAAAGTACACGGCATGTGAGGAGTCCGGCTAGGCCAGGCAATCCCTAGCAGGGCTAAGCAAGAGTACAATCCAAACCAGGACTGCAATCCCAAGTAAAGTAGTGCAGAACCCGAGAACGTGCACTCACCCTTGCGGGTCGTGGCGCCGTCCTCCTCATTGTCCGATCCCTCACGGTCGCTAGCACCAGACGCCTCCTCAGCAGCGGCAGCATCCTCTGCAGCTGCAGCGGCCACCGCAGCCGCTCTTAGCTCCCGCCCCTCCTTAGTCCTACCAAAGTTAGCCCGTTGTACGGCTCCAGCGGTTAGGCGGCGAATGAACACCACCACCTTCGCGGCCGTGATGACGTAACTGCCGTTGCCATATGCCTCAATCTCCTGCGGCGTAGGCGTGTACGCATCGCTGTACTCCATGAAGTCCTTGATGACGTCCATGCACCTACTGCAAAACGAAAAGGCAGCGGACAGCGGGCATCAATTACGGTGCAGGGATCCGGGACTAGTAACAGGATAACAGCTTAGACAAGAGAGAAGGACAAAGCGTCGCACCCACTCGAGGACCCTACCCACTGGCATAGTTACTAGTTACTACGGTAGACGGGGTTACCTACTTAGGCCAGTATAGCCCGAACGTGGACTTGGTATCGGCCTGCATAACGGCAAGCCTAGATACCACGTTAACCGAGAAGCGGTCGTCCCACGTGAGGCTCGACTTGCAATGGCTGCCGCTGCTAGCAACGCCAAAGTCCACCCCAAGGAGATAGCAAACTGACCGCTGAGCCGCCTGCACGTCGCCATGCCCTGATGCCGCCACCGTCAAGCGCTTCAGCACCACCAATGCATCCCTCATCGCCTTGGCGCTGCAGAAGAGGAGACCAGTATAGTTAGCCGGAGCACCAACCACTGCTGCATTAAGCGGACCCGATACCCACGTACCTTGGAGCGACGAAAGCCCAGCTGCCGTGTCCAACCTCCTTGAAAGGGTACAGCTTCTTGATGACCTCGTTGGACGTCAAGGGCTCCTCCGGCTTCACGGCAAGGTATGTCGGCGGCGACTGAAGGCGCTGCAGCACAGGCCGCCTGTGGAAACCCCGACCAGCTCGATGTTAAGACGACATGGGACGCACAAGGCAATTATAGAGGCAGCAAAACATATCTTCACACCTTCGCGGCGACACAACAGCGGCACCTCTGCCACGGCCCCTTGCGCCCGACACGGCTGCAGCGCCTCTGGCACGGCCCCTTGCGCCCGACACGGCTGCAGCGCCTCTACCACGACTGCTGCCTGACCGCCGTTGTTCCGCGGCACGGCTGGGGCCCTCGTCGGGCCGGCCACGCCCACGCTTCCGCGTCACAGGAGGGGGGGACGGCAACGCTCTTCCATCACTGTCGCAATCTGGAACATCGTCTCCAGAAAGCTCCGCCTGGTCGCGGACAAGCTGCTGGCGGCGCTGTTGCTGCAGCTCCAGCTGTCCATCGGGAAGCGCTGGTGTGCCTGATGGGTCGGGAGGTAGTGGGAAAAGTGGTGCGGCCTCGCGCGGCGCCACAGGCCGAACGAGCACATCTGCCAGGATGGGACATGCCTGGGCTCCTGGGGCATGGGCGACTCCTGCCGGCTTCTGCTGGCGACTCATGGGGTAATAGAGGCCGGTCGACGCAAAGTGGCATATGAGGATGGCAGAGTTGTCAACAAGACCGTTAGGCAGCGGGTCATTGTCCAAGGATAGACGGAAGCCGCCCATCTCGCAGCCACCCTTGTACAGGACCATGCGCTGACCCCCAGGCACGGCCCTGGAGATTGGCATCTCAACAAGGAATGGAGAGTCGCAGCTTGGGTAAACCCACATAGCCCCCATGGCAGGCTCCAGCAGGTACAAGGCGCGCACGTGCGGTTGCATGCGACCCAGCGCAACTGCCGCCAGCCGAAGAGCGGAACAGAAGCCGACCTCCGACACTGGCGGCGCCTCCCCTGCAGTAAAAGGGTGCATGCATATGAAGGACGCTTGAGACACAAGAGAATATAAGGTTTCAAGGCGAGATGGCTATTCACAGCTAATCCTTGCAAAAGATAGACATTACAGCCGTCGAACCCCGTGGCTTGCTCACCTCTTCGCTCCCCGCAAATGAGCGCCTTCCATGCAGGCGACGTCTTGCCGCTGTCGTTGACAAGCTGCCCAAGGAAACCACCTTGTAACTTGGCCATCCCAGCCTGCAGTGCTCCAGCATATACCCCAGCTGCTTGAGCTACACAGCCCACAAGGTCGTCCAGGGGGAAGCCCTGTATGCCAACGACCCAATGGAGGAGCATAACGCTCCCCATGTCGCCCTTGAAGGAGTCTTGCGCGACGTTGCCCCCACCGGCTGGTACCGACGGAACCGCGGGTCCGCCATGCTGCAGCTTCGCTGACAAGCCGTGATTGCGCACGAGCGACAACCAATCTGTGATCCATTGCTCCTCGAGGAAAGAGCGAAGCCTGTCGGCAGCGAAAGCCACCAATTGCTGGGCAATTTCCCCATCGACAGCCCCGCTGCCGCTCAGGAAACGCCGCAAGTGGTGGATATCGGCGGCAAATTCATTAATAAACGACTCGTTGTCAGATTGCCAGCGCCCCTACGCGGCAAGAGGGCAAAAGCGCAAGGGGCGATGAACATTTGCCAACCAAACAAGCAGGCGGCATCGTAAAAGCGGCTAGTCAACGTCAACACAATTAACTTGCCTTGCTTCGTAGGAAAGCGACCTGCAAAAGCAAGTGCTGTAGGTTGACCCGGAAGTGGAAGTCGCGGCACCCGCGCCTCACGCTTGACTGTTTAGTAAAGTCCGAACCTTTTTCTCTCCCAGTAAACACGTGTTGCCGAAGGAATGCTGCGGTGAGTTCCTTGCTGATGCCCTCCTCGTCGAGGAAAGTCCGGAGCTCTGTTTCTAAAGGCGTGTGAACGTGACTAGCGCTACAGTTTTTACAATGCTTATTAGAGGCAACGCCCCCTAAGGAAAGGCAGCTTAAATAGCTCGCCATGTCTCGGATGACCCATAGTAGACTGCCTAGCACCAGCAAAGCAATAAGGAGACAGTCCTATGTATATTAAAAGCAAAATACAGTGCAAAGAAGAGTGTTTTGGCAGCAATCGGCTTTGCTCAACTTGGATATCTGGCCCGGAACCCCGACGACGAAAATTTGCCTACCTCATGAGCAGCTAAGTCTCCCGGTAACTTGTCATACTCGAGGTGGGATCATACTTTAGGTGGAATCCCACTTATAGTGGGATTGCGTCAGATTGCGCGCAAAATATGTTTGCGATTGACCAAATGCACAATCCCACTTATAGTGGGATTCCACATATGCTGTTATTCCAGATATCGCTACACTGGCCCCAACTGCTGAACTTAATACTGTGTTACTCATAGAATACTGGGCACCGTTAGACAAAGTGTCGCAATGGCATCCTTTTCCGAGTTTTCCCGAAGGCAGGGAGCATGGTGAAAGTCGTTGGCAAAGCTGCCCTTCACATACATGCGTTTGCAAAAATGCACCGTTCTATCTAGCATAAACTGTGAAACAATGGTTCAAAAAGCCGCAGAAAGCGCTGGAGGTGCACAACGCTGGAGGCCATGCTGGTCATCTTGACCAAACTGAATCATCTCTCGCGAACATTGCTCCCTTCAAACCGCCAGGACAGGACTGAACAAACCATCAATTATAGCCTGAACGCGCGACTTAAAAAGGGGAGTCTTGCCATGAGTAAATCACGGGCCCACGGGACAGCACAACGTTACAAAACCGCATTGGCCTTGAGGTACACACAGGATAGGCCCGTTCTGGTGTAAGACAAGTCAGAAAGCATGTAAGCAAGAGCGATTGGGGCTCGATTGGTTGCGCCATGCAAGTGTGGTTGGGCAGGATGTGCCGTTCAGACCGGGTGCATGGTGGGGGGCCTAGTCAAACCCAGGGTTGGGGGTGCGTATCTGACCGTGCGAGCGGCGCTTGAGCCCGCCGTCACACCTATAGACTCCTTAGACATGTAGTATCATGTGGCCAAGCGTGGGGCTCGATTCGTTGCGCCATGCGAGTGTGGTTGGGCAGGATGTGCCGTTCAGACCGGGTGCATGGTGGGGGGCCTAGTCAAACCCAGGGTTGGGGGTGCGTATCTGACCGTGCGAGCAGCGCTTGAGCCCGCCATCACACCTACAGACTCCTTAGACATGTAGTATCATGTGGCCAAGCGTGGGGCTTGATTCGTTGCGCCATGCGAGTGTGGTTGGGCAGGATGTGCCGTTCAGACCGGGTGCATGGTGGGGGGCCTAGTCAAACCCAGGGTTGGGGTGCGTATCTGACCGTGCGAGCGGCGCTTGAGCCCGCCGTCACACCTATAGACTCCTTAGACATGTAGTATCATGTGGCCAAGCGTGGGGCTCGATTCGTTGCGCCATGCGAGTGTGGTTGGGCAGGATGTGCCGTTCAGACCGGGTGCATACATGGTGGGGGGCCTAGTCAAACCCAGGGTTGGGGATGCGTATCTGACCGTGCGAGCGGCGCTTGAGCCCGCCGTCACACCTATAGACTCCTTAGGCATGTAGTATCATGTGGCCAAGCGTGGGGCTCGATTCGTTGCGCCATGCGAGTGTGGTTGGGCAGGATGTGCCGTTCAGACCGGGTGCATGGTGGGGGGCCTAGTCAAACCCAGGGTTGGGGGTGCGTATCTGACCGTGCGAGCGGCGCTTGAGCCCGCCGTCACACCTATAGACTCCTTAGACATGTAGTATCATGTGGCCAAGCGTGGGGCTCGATTCGTTGCGCCATGCGAGTGTGGTTGGGCAGGATGTGCCGTTCAGACCGGGTGCATGGTGGGGGGCCTAGTCAAACCCAGGGTTGGGGGTGCGTATCTGACCGTGCGAGCAGCGCTTGAGCCCGCCGTCACACCTATAGACTCCTTAGACATGTAGTATCATGTGGCCAAGCGTGGGGCTTGATTCGTTGCGCCATGCGAGTGTGGTTGGGCAGGATGTGCCGTTCAGACCGGGTGCATGGTGGGGGGCCTAGTCAAACCCAGGGTTGGGGTGCGTATCTGACCGTGCGAGCGGCGCTTGAGCCCGCCGTCACACCTATAGACTCCTTAGACATGTAGTATCATGTGGCCAAGCGTGGGGCTCGATTCGTTGCGCCATGCGAGTGTGGTTGGGCAGGATGTGCCGTTCAGACCGGGTGCATGGTGGGGGGCCTAGTCAAACCCAGGGTTGGGGTGCGTATCTGACCGTGCGAGCGGCGCTTGAGCCCGCCGTCACACCTATAGACTCCTTAGACATGTAGTATCATGTGGCCAAGCGTGGGGCTCGATTCGTTGCGCCATGCGAGTGTGGTTGGGGATGCAGACCTAGGTCATGTATGGTGGGGATCTACAATAATCCTGTCACACCCCGTTATTTCGCCGCGTGACAGGGGGATAGCAGTGCACCTCCTTTAAGTTGTCCTAACTTGTTAGATGTAATGTTAGTTTAACTTCCCCTATACGCAAGATGTCTTTAAACTTAGGTCTTGGACCCGCGGGACCCTGGTCCTCACTATCGTCCGTAATACCACTAAACCAGGCCAACCTGGCCCCTTTCCATCTTGTTTGTTCTAGGTGAAGGCGAGTCAACGGGCGGGCAGCGCCCAAGCAAGGCATTCCTACTGATGCCATCGCTCGCGCGCCATAGAGCACATAAAGGATGCAGGTTAAGCCAAATAAGCTGCACAGTCTCCTTTACAAATTTTGTATGCTGTTAACCTAGCATTTCTGCTCTAAGGACGTGGTGTCCAAGGATGTCGGCCTCCGAACATTGACCTCCGTCTTATTCCCTGCCTTCACGAGAGGTCGGATAACATTGGTATACTAATTAAAGCTCAGTGTGAGCAGCACAGTAAATGGTTCACCAGGCTATGTTCGGCAATTTGCAACTGCACAGCCATATGTGGAATACCACCATAAGTGGTATCCGGCACAAATAGTGTCGCTGTATGAGTGGTATCCCACTATACGTGGGATTGCGCGATTGGTCAAAGCTCGAAAAATCTTTATGTACAATCCCACTATAAGTGGGATTCCACCTAAAGTATGATCCCACCTCGAGTATGACAAGTTACCGGGAGACTTAGCTGTCATGAGCCTTCTGGCTCGGACGGATCTTACGAGCTCGGTACGAAGCTTGTAACATACATACATACATACATACATACATACATACATACATACATACTACATACATACATACATACATACATACATACATACATACATACATACATACATACATACATACATACATACATACATACATACATACATACATACATACATACATGCAATTAATAGAATTGAGAAAGGTGCTGTTTCGGTTATAATGTTATAGGCTTAGTCGTTATTCAATACAAACAGCTTTGCAAAGTGCCGCTGCCGCGGCGGCCGCAGAGCCACACAGCGGGCATCGTCCCGCTACGTTCGCGTTTACGTTCGTTCACACATTTCGTTCGTTCAACGGCCACCGCTGAAAAATTGATCGAACTACGTGTTCTTTTCACGATTTTGAGGCGTCCCTCGCCCGACATGGCCTTTGTCGCAATCCTGTGGGCTATCGCTCTGGCGATTGCTTCTTTGATGCCTTTCGTTGGCTGTTGTTCCAGCAACGTGGAGTTCAAGTGGGTTTGTCATCTGTGCGTCAAGCTGGGATTGGCGAATTTCGCCGGTGTTATGACGTTTTTGTGGAAGCTTGCGCACGAGCGCGCATGTTGGACCCTGACACACCGCATGCAGAGCTCAGGCATGGTGTTAGCGCGCAGTTCGAAACCGACGATCCACACGTGTCGCTCGCTGCAAATACAGCCACGGCCATTGCTAACGAGCCTAGATATGCACGCACCGCAGCATCAGAATGCGCCGCTGTGGCTGCTTACTGCACGGACATGCTGTCATTGGGAGAAGGGCCTGTGGTCACAGGGGCATGGGCCGACGAAAACATTGTACACTGGGTAGCAGTTGCCTTTCAATGCAACCTGACCGTCTGGCATGCCGACGGCACTGGATGTCGTGCCCTTTCTTACGCATATGGCGGCAACAGCGAAGAAATGCATTTAGCCTTTTATGCGGGTCATTATGAACCAGTTGTATGATGCAGCACAGCACATCCACTGCCTGGCTCCGCACCGAGCAAACACCAACATGCAAACGTCCAACGAGCCAAAAGCACTCCTCAATCGCCGATTCAACCCAAGTCTAGCCCACCAGCAACGCTAAAGTTGTGCGACCAGGTGCTGTTAGCCGCAGAGAGGCTGTGCATGCCTGAGCATACTCACACTAACATGTAATACGCATCCCAACTGTACGACCTCCTTCCAATCCGCTCAACACCAGCCGGCACGCATACAAATACCTCCTTGGCAAGACTTCACAGCGCATTCGAAATTTTTATAGGGGGCGGTGTCTGCGAAGCTGACGGTTTTTTTCAATCGCTGCTAGAGCGATAGAAATCGGGCCTGGACAATCGCTTATCGCTTTCCCAACCAGCCAAGCCGAGGGGTTTCGGGGCTTATCTCTTCATAAGGCGGCCTCCTGGGGTCACAAGTGCCCATAGCCCCCTAAACCCCAATGTGGAGGCGCTTCTCACTGGTCCCAGTGCCCTCCTGGACCCAAATCCCTAGCATGTAGAGGGTCTGGCAGGGGGTGTGAGCGATGAGATACCCTGGGCACAGACACCTTATCGCTTTCTCACGGCCCTAGGACCAATTATTTATCGCTCAAAAAGCGATATATCCAAAAAACACTGGTTGGAAGGTTTGTCTCGGTGATTCGTTACATACGCATGTACTCACCACCACTTTACTCGGCCCCTCGCCCCATGCAACCCATGCACGCACGCATGCAAGCACCCCAGCTTTAAACACCCCCTCATCCCATGCAATCCACGCTCGCAGGCAAGCAACCCTAATTTACGAGCCCCCTGGCCCAATGCAACTTTTTTCACATACACTGCCCACAAAGACGACCAGATTTTTCAACACACACTAATGCAAGCATTCCCAAGGAGGCTCCTGGGCCCTCAGCGACTGCAGCAGTGGCCACTGCCCCGAGCCCGGCGGCAGCACCTGCGCCCTCAGCCACAGCAGCAGCGGCTGCTGCCGCGAGCGGTGAGGCACCTGCGCCCTCAGCGACTGCAGCAGCGGCCACTGCCCCGAGCCCGGCGGCAGCACCTGCGCCCTCAGCCACAGCAGCAGCGGCTGCTGCCTCGAGCGGGGAGGCACCTGCGCCCTCAGCGACTGCAGCAGCGGC